TGTATCAGTACTTCATTCTTTTTTAAGGCTGAGTTATGTTCTTCTGTATTGATTTTTTATAGAGAGGAAGGGAGAGGGATAGAGAGTTAGAAACATCGATGAGAAACATCGATGAGAAACATCGATCAGCTGCCTCCTGCACACCCCCCACTGGGGATGTGCCTGCAACCAAGGTACATGCCTTTGACCGGAATCAAACCTGGGACCCTTCAGTCCAACGCTCTATCCCCTGAACCAAACTGGTTTCGGCAAGAATGGAAGAATTTTATGGATCATTCCTTCATTATTTTGCATTCCTTTAATCATCCATTCGTCCAATTAATTGCTGAGCCCCTCATGTGCCAGAGGCTGCCAGAGATGGGAAATTGAAACAGTGCACAGTGAGCTGTGAAGGAAGGTTTGTAGACTAACTTCCACTTTACATGTGCTATGTACACTGGTACACAAGGTTCAGGCAGACTCCCAGCCGAGACTGGAAACTTCAAAGAAGGCTTTCAATATGACTCTTATACTAAATTTGAAAGAGAAGAGTCAGCCAGGTGGAGAGCAGAGGACATTCTCACAGAGGGAGCAGCATGAGCAAGGAAGTTGTGAAGGTGTGAGAACTGCTTGTGGTTCAGTGTGGTGGTCACAGGTGTGAACTGAGGAGCAGAGAGCGGAGTGAAGGGGGCAGGACCAGGCCTGAGGCAGGGGTAGGCTGTGCCCAGGAGGATGGCTTTAGAACTAAGGTTGCAGAGAACCCCCTTATCTCCCCGCTGCCCTCCCTAGGAGCCCGAGACCTGTTGGGCACACTTACTTCCCAAGGCCCAGTTAGGGCCTACCTGATGCTCCACATGTTAGGACCTGCTGGTCCCCTGATGGACCTCTTAAAAAAATTTATATATATATATATTGATTTCAGAGAGAAAGGGAGTGGAACAGAGATAGAAACATCAATGATGAAAGAGCATCACCGATTGGCTGTAACCCAGAATCGAACCTGGGACCCCTCAGTCCACAGGCCACTCTATCCACTGAGTCAAACCAGCCAGGGTATGGCCGACCTCTTCCCTACTCCCCCCACTACCCCAGAAAGGTATTTCTCTTTTCTATCCTGTGGCCAAGCGAGCTCTGAGGACAGGAGCACAGAGAAATAAGTGGCTTGAGCAGGTTTGCTCAGTCAGGAGCTAGGTACAGGGGCTACCAGGTCAGAGACATTGGAGGGGCCTTTGTTAATAGGGAGGAAAGGTCCTGAGGACACCCTGGAGGAAAGAGACAAAGGTGGGAGTGTGGAGGGTGTCATGTCTCTGACCAGCAGACACTGGGGCCTGCTGATATTTCCCATTGGCCACTCTTGTCCTGGCATCAAGACCAGGCCAAGAGCTGAGACTAACTCAATGTTGAAGGAAGGTCAGAACGACTTCCAAGACCTCAGCAGATGTAGTAGCTTGATCATTGCCCATGCGATGAGGTGATGGGGTGGAGAGTCAGCATGGCCATGGGAATTTGGCCATAGGTTAGAAGGAAACCATAATCCAAGCCCATTTCCATCAGCCCAGGAGGCATCTTCTGCATTCCTCCTTATTCCATGCAGAGTGAAGCCAAAGTGGTGTGACATCACCCATTACCACCACCACCAATTTTATCACTATCTTCCTTACCCTCCTCTGACTCTCCTACCCACCATTCCAGCACCATCGTCACTCAAATGGCAGATACTCTTCTCCCAAACTAGGCTCTATCACCACCATCACCACCATCATTGCCATCACCATTACCACCACTTTCATGATTACAACCACAACCATCATCAGTACCATCTATATAATCCTCATCGTCACAACTGCCCTCATAACCACATCACTATCACCATTATCCCTAGCCCCACACCTTCATCCTTACTTCAATCACCCCGTCACCATCATTTCTACCATCAGTATTCCCACCTCCATCACTACTACACATCTCATCATCATACTTACCATTACAATGATTCCATCAGTACCTCCATCAACATAGGAAATGATTACATGGGTTATTGCAACGGTTAATGGTCAGTGAAACCCCAAGATAGGGAGGTTAGCTGAGGTCACTCAATGCAGAGAGCAGTAAAAGAGTAAGAAGTCGTAGTGTAAGAAGTCTCTATTCCAAGCAATCCCAAATAGGGAATTGTTTGCCTTAGGAACTCATTCTTCCCCAAATCTTCTAATAGTTCTAGTAATATTTTCAACTAAGGAGTTGTTCTTTTTCCAGTGCACAAGGCTCCTTCCCATCTAGTCTGGTATAAATGAAGGTCTCCTCCATCTTGGCCTCTGAGCTCAGGTTTGAATTTCCAGGAAGATGGGGATACTTAAAAATTTAATCAAAACAAGTGGTGTTTTTAAAAAATATATTTTATTGCTTTTTTTTTTTTTTTTTTTTAGAGAGAGAGAGAAAGGGAGAGGAACAGAAAGCAGAGAGTTAGAAACATCGATCAGCTACCTCCCACTGGGGATGTGCCCACAACCAAGGTACATGCTCTTGACTGGAATCGAACCCGGAACCCTTCAATCCACAGGCCGTGCTCTACCCACTGAGCCAAACCAGTTTTGGCCAAAACAAGTTCTCAGCTGGTGATTCAGAGCTGATCTGCCTTGTGGTTAGACTCTTGGCATTCCACACCTTGCCTGTCTAGATCCATCATCTGCCTCCACACATCATGGTCACCATCGTTCCTTGATGCCAGCGGAGAGGCGAGCTACCACATGGGCTGGAGACAGGGAGTAAGATGAAGCCAGGGGTACAGTTAATGCCAGAACTCCTCGCTGTAGAAAGGGCTACAGATTTAGATTTGGGTTTCCTAGGCGCCAGTGCAGAGGGAGAGGGGACCATTATATGACTATCAGCTATTTTTTATGTGAAGGCAGGAGAGAAACGCCCATTGTGAAAACAAAGGCACCCCAGCCAGTGCCCAGGGCTGGCCTCGCTGGCTGCGGAGCCTCTGAGTGAACATGGAGATGAAACGGCAGCAAAACTTACCTCCCAGGAGCTGCAAAGTGCTGTGCTGTTTTATATTTCAATATAAATAATCTGATTATATAACATTGAACGAGGGAGGAACCAACAGCGTGGGGATCACATGTGAATGACAGCAAATGGGACAGGAGTGGTTTTACCCTGGGGCTGGGCTCCGAATGCGGTGGGCATCCACCAGGGGAATGAGAGGGAGGCCAGAGGTGCCTCTGCACCAACGTGTGAGGAGCCAACATGCTGAGTTTGGGGAACTGAGGGAAGGGGCCTTGTTGGGGGGGCCAGAGGCAGGCGGGGAGAAGCCGGTCTTGGGGCTATATGGGTCAAGCCAGGGAGCTGGACTTTCACCCTCTGGCCCTGAGAGCGGGGGAAAGTTCTAAGCAGAGACACTGCTCTGTCACATCTGTTCTGAAATGTATCTTGTGGCAGGTACGCGGAGAGCGGGTTGAAAGGGGTGAGACAGGTAGGAAGGTTTCTGTGACTCATTTTAACCCTCCTGCCAGGCTGCACCCTCACTGAGGGCAGGGACTGTGTCTGAGACACCTTCGTACCGCACTCTAGTGGGGTAACACTAGAGACTCAACAAATACCTCTTACTTTTATCCCCTCCTGTCACCACCTCTAAATCACTGCCCTCACTCCCATGCCCGTGACACCACCAGGAACACACCGTGTCACTGAGCAGCCCTTTCCTCAGAGCTCTGTGAGGGGGCTCAGCCCGGTGCAGACAGGAACATCCCCAGCTCAGCAGCTGAGGTCCAAGGCCTGGGCCAGAGTCAGGGGTCCCAGTCTCCTCTTTGGTTCTGCTGCGGAGTCACCATGTGATCCCAGCAGGCCACACACCCACTTTCCTTATCTGTTCAAAGTGGGGGCTATATGAAATGTATCATTTTCAATTTTTATTTTTATTTTTTAAGAAAACTTAGGCCCTTAGGAACCTATTTGATGCCCGGCTGGCGTGGCTCAGTGGTTGAGCATCGACCTAGGAACCAGGAGGTCACGGTTTGATTCCTGGTCAGGGCACATGCTCGTGTCGCATGCTTGATCCCAAGTGTGGAGTGTGCAGTAGGCAGCTGATCAATGATTCTCTCTCATCATTGATGTTTCTCTCCCCCTCTCTTCCTCTCTGAAATCAATACAAATATGTTTTAAAAAAGAGGAAATCTGGAGCCCTTGGAACATAATTTGATAACATTCCAACTCGGTTGACCTGGTGTTTGAAGAATCAGATCAGAAACACTTGACATTGCTGGTTTCTGCTGTGCTTCAGTGGCAGGGCTAAGAGAATGGAGTGGGTAAGACAGACACATCCCAAGCCTTAGGCATTGCACTATCCTATGACAATCCCTCTCTTTCCTTACCCACGTCCTCGAGGTAATCTAGGAAGCTCTTGGAAATAGGGCTGCGGGCAGGCAGGAGGGAATGTGTGCATAGGAAGAGCACCTGAGTGAAGAAGGGGGAGGGTGATGGGTCTGGGATCCCCAGATTGGCCAGGCTGCTCAGGGTGGTTCCAGGTGTGTCTCATGCCAGAGCATAAGCTCCAGGTGGGGACATAAATCTGACAGGGTACAGAGAGCACTCATAGCTCAGCAGTAAAAACCCTTCACCTGGTTTTGAATCCTGGGCTGCTGGCCAGGCTGTGGTTGCAAATAGGCAAGGCTCACCTGGGTTTCGTAGGACAAAGGGCATCCAAGGAGAGCTGGCACCATGCCCAGGAGGCTCCTCCTCTTAGGGACCCTTGAAGCTCTGCTGATCAGGGGGCTATGGGCTCAGCTCCTACACACCCAGCTACCCATCATGGCAGCCCAAGGTTACCCCACTTGGTCCCTGAGTGCCACTATGTAAGTCCCAGAGCCATGGAGTCAGTGACCCCTGAATGGATGGCAGCCCTCTTCCTCAGAGACACTGGGCTGCACAGGCAGGGATCCGAAGGTGGCCAGGGAAGGGCCAGTCCCGGGCCAGCCCCCAAGGGCTGGACTGTGGCTGCAGGCTCTCCGCCCATTAGTCTATTTGCTCCCGCCCCCAGAGTCCAAGGGTCCATACGGTGGGTGGGCTGAGCTGTGCTGACTGCTACACAGGAGCCCACACGGGGGACAGTTATCTGTGGGCGGCATGGGTTTCGAGGAGCTGCTAGGCCAGGTGGGTGGCTTTGGGCCCTTCCAACTGCGGAATGTGGCCCTGCTGGCCCTGTGGCCCCGGATTCTGCTTCCTATGAACTTCCTCCTGCCCATCTTCCTGGCTGCCGTGCCTGCCCACCACTGTGTCCTGCCCGGGGCCCCTGCCCACGTCAGCCAGGACATGTGGCTGGAGGCCCACCTTCCCCGGGAGCCGGATGGCACACTCAGCTCCTGCTTCCGCTTCACCTCCGCCCAGGCCCTCCCCAACACGACGTTGGGGGGAGAAGGGCAGAGTCCTGGGGAGCTGCCGGGGGCGCCCTCCACAGAGCCGTGCCCTCTGGGCTGGGAGTACGACCACTCGGAGTTCTCCTCCACCATTGCCACGGAGGTACCTGGGCCAGGAGGCTGGGGGACACGTGAGTGGGATGGGTCTCATTATTTTATTTCTCAGAGTCTCAGGTTTCCCCTCATCAATATATTAATTTAAAGCACAGAGCTTGTAATAAAGAGTCCATACATGGGAGCTGCTACTTTAAAAAAAAATTATTGATGAAGATATTACACGCGAGGAGCTGCTTTATTAATTGGGAGGTAACTGCAGCAGGAGAGGCTAAGGCAGCTCCTAGGGAGCTGGGCTGAGCGTGGAGAAGGGTGTTTCTGCAGCAAAAGGTGGAGAAACAACAGGGGTCTCCTCCTCTTTCTGCCTCATCTGGGCCCCTGGTCTAGGATTTACAGAATCTGTCTGTAACTGGGGTGCATGCCGGTGGGGAAAGAATCTCTTGGGGTGGGGTGAGGGGGAGCACAGGCCTCCTGGGGTCATGGTCAAGCCCTTGTGGGAAGAAGCTGCAGCTGCAGGACTGGGGAGGGACAAAGTCTCCCAGCCCCGAGCTGAAGGGAACAGTCAGAGGCACGAGGATGGCATAGGTGACCTCAGAAGGACCCAGGGTCTGGCGCGGAGGGGTTGGTGCCAGTTGGAGAGGGGCCTGTGCCCATGGGAGGCCCCTCGTTGCCTGTCTCTGCAGTGGGACCTGGTGTGTGAGCAGAAAGGCCTGAACAAAGCCACTTCTACATTCTTCTTCATCGGTGTGCTGGTGGGGGCTGTGGCCTTCGGATACCTGTCTGACAGGTGGGGCAATGAGGGAGGGGGGGGGAGAACCTTCTCCCACTGGCTGGGTTCTGGGCCTAGTCTACCTCAGTTGGGATCTCCCCTCTGCAGGGAACTAACTCCGCATGACCCTGTGCAGGTTTGGGCGGCGCCGCCTGCTGCTGGTGGCCTACGTGAGTGCCCTGGGGATGGGCCTGGCCTGTGCAGCCTCGGTCAACTACATCATGTTCGTCATCACCCGCACCCTCACCGGCACAGCGCTGGCTGGCTTCACCATCATCGTGATGCCACTGGGTGAGGAGGCAAAGGGATGGGCAGGGCCTTCCAGGCTGGAGGGAGGCAACTGTCAAGGGTGAGACTGCGCCGTGTGTCCCAGGCTGACTGTCTTCCTGTCTGGCCGTGGACAGAGTTGGAGTGGCTGGACGTGGGACACCGCACCGTGGCAGGTGTCCTGAGCAGCACCTTCTGGACGGGCGGAGTGATGCTGCTGGCACTGGTTGGGTACCTGATACGGGACTGGCGATGGCTTCTGCTGGCTGTCACCTTGCCTTGTGTCCCAGGCATCGTCAGCCTCTGGTGAGCAGCTGGGGAGTGAGAAGAAGCCAGAGACAGAATAATCAGAGGCTGAGATTCGAAGACAGAGAGACTGAGACAAAGAGAATGAAAAACAATCCGTGACCCAGAGACATGAGATGCAGAGAAACACACACACACAGACACACACACACACACACACACACACACACTAGGGACATGAGAGACAGAGCCAAGCACAAACTGAGGCTGGTGCCCTGGAGGACAGAGCCAGCATGGAGGTAGGAAGTCCAGGTAGAGGGAAGGCCAGGCAGGGTGGGCATTTCATGGCCTCCCCCAAATGAGCTGGCTTTGAATGACACCTCTGGGTCTGTCTCTCAATCATCCTATGCCCTCCTGTCACCTGTGGGAGAAGTGGGGGGCTGGTCCTGGGGGCTGAGATCTTGGGGGTGACACCAATTCAGGTGAATAGGGAAGTGACTCCCAGGCTATGGGGAATCTAGGCCTGGGCAAAGAAGAGTGGGGAAAGTGGCTAATAAATTGGGCCTTAACAAAGAATAAAGTTCATCAGGTGAGGAGGGTTGGGAAGATGCTGCAGGCTGAGGAACAGCTTGCGGTGTGCCGGGAGGGAGACATGGCTTAGGGTGCTGACTGAAGCGCCTCCTGCTGTCCCCCAGGTGGGTGCCTGAGTCCGCACGCTGGCTTCTGACTCAGGGCCGTGTGGAAGAGGCCCGCAGGTACCTGCTCTGCTGCGCCAGGCTCAATGGGCGGCCTGTGGGTGAGGACAGCCTGAGCCTGGAGGTGAGGGTGAACGTGCGTGCGAGTGCATCCAAGTCCATGTGTGTGGCGTGTGTCAAGCACTCCCTTCCTGGGGCCCACTCTGTGTGCAGGAAAAGCTCCCTGGGCCAATGTAGAGTTTTCCCAGGATGTCCTCTGGTGGGCCACTCCCTCGCCGGTTTTCCCTACTCAGCTCCCATGTGCATCCGTCTCCCCGCTACAACGCAGAAGGGAGCAAGAGACCAGAGAGAGCCATGTGCCTTGCTGAGGCCACACAGGCAACTCCATGCCACCGACTCCCCTCCCCCACCAGGCCCTGAGGAAAGTAGCAGCTGCAGAGCGGGTGGTCCGAAGACCTTCCTACTTGGACCTGTTTCGGACACCGCGGCTCCGACACATCTCACTGTGCTGCATGATGGTGTGGTGAGGAGGGGGCTGGCCTGGAGAGGCGGGGATGGGGCGCGGAGGGAGGGGCTGACTTCAGGATGATGCTGAGTGTAACAGGTAACTGGACAAGTAAACTCTGTGGAGAGCAGGGTGGGGGTGGTGGATGGGGGCTGGGGGGCTGGGGGGCTGGGGCTCTGGAAGGTCAGAAGATGGAGCAGGCATCAGTCACGTGGGTTCAAATCCAAGCTCTGCCCTTTCCTTATTGTGAGACCTTGGACAGGTGAAACGGGGATGTTGTTAGTTCCTACCTCTCAGGGCTGCTGTGAAGATTAGGCAAAGAAGCTTTGGCCACAAGGGGGAGGTGGTCTCTCCTAAAGGCCAAGTTCCCTGAGCGGCCAGGGAAGGAGGGCCCTGAGTGGCAGGCACTGTGACCCCTCAGGTTTGGCGTGAACTTTTCCTATTACGGCCTGAGCCTGGACCTGACGGGGCTGGGGCTGAACATGTATCAGACGCAGCTGCTGTTCGGGGCCGTGGAGCTGCCCGCCAAGCTGCTGGTCTACCTGTCGGTGCGCCACGCCGGCCGCCGCCTCACGCAGGCAGGGACGCTGCTGGGCACGGCCCTCACCTTGGGCTGCAGGCTGCTGGTGTCCGCCGGTGAGCCTGCCCTGGCCCCGCCTACCCGCCCTGGCCCCGCCTCCTGGCCAAGAACCCCGCCCTTTCCCGGAGGCCTGGGCTCCAGGCCAACGACGCATGCCCTCTCTGAGGGCTCCGCCTTCCATCCGGAACCCCTCTTCCTCCAGAGAAGGTGTACTGGAGCACCGCCCTGGCGGTGGTGGGGAAAGGTTTTTCTGAAGCTGCCTTCACTACTGCCTACTTGTTCACCTCGGAGCTGTACCCTACTGTGCTCAGGTGAGGGGAGCCTGAGTCCCAGGCAACCCTGGGGAGAGGGTCTGTTAGTCTCATCTCTTACCAGCACCTTCCCATACACACAGCACATGGCACCCAGTCCTTGTTCAGTACACGGAATACGGGGTTAATCAGAGCCTCTGCTGGCCTCAGCCTGGGGGGGGGGGGGCATTTTACCTCCTTCACTAAGTGACCCTGAGAGAGGTCAGACAGCTTCTCTGGGCCTCCTTCTGCGCACCCCACCCCATCTCCCCACAGCCGGGGCAGAGCTGCCCTTGGGAGTTGGGTCTAGACCCCTTTCAACTAGCTGTTGGCAGGTGAGGAGGAGGCATGCAGGCAGCTCAGTATGATTAGAAAGCCTTGCACCTACTGACAACTTGGCATCATCTATGAGCTGCTGACCCTCTTCATTCCACACTATCCCCCCCCCCCCCGCCCCTTTCCTGTGATGTTTCTTTTCCTTCAATGATACCCGACTGGTACTCTTGTCAGAATGGGGGCCCCATCCTCTGGTGGGTGTTGACTTGGGGAGGAAGGTTGGCCAGGGGTGGGTGAGAAGACCACCTGAAAGAAGTCTCATCTTTCTTAGCTGTCTGGGGAGAAAAAGGGGCACCAACAGGGTACTCCCTGCCAGCCAGGGGTAAGCCCCATGAGGCATGTCTCCAAGTAGCTGTGAGCAACAACCCCCTCCCCCATCCTTTCTCTGAACAGACAGACAGGGATGGGGCTGACTGCTCTGGTGGGCCGGCTTGGGGGCTCTTTGGCTCCACTGGCGGCCTTGCTGGATGGAGTATGGCCGTCACTGCCCAAGCTCACTTATGGGGGGATTGCCCTGCTGGCTGCCTGCACTGCCCTCCTGCTGCCAGAGACAAAGAAGGCCCAGCTGCCAGAGACCATCCAGGATGTGGAGGGGAAGAGGTGTGTGCATTTGCATGTGGGTATGGGTGCTCAGGTACCTTCATCTTAGATAGGATTCAGAGGAAGACATGTCTGTATCTGGTGCATGTGTGCAAGTATGCATTGGTGCATGACGTGAAGTATGTACATTGTGTGTATAAAAGCATGCTCAAGTTCATATCGATGTGGGTACATAAATACCCAAGACTGTCGAGGAAGAGGTGGATGTGTGCACACTCCGGTATACCTGCACATCAGGGATGTGTATAAGCATGTGTAGGAGTCCCTTGTGGGTGTACACACACTTATATACCAATAGTGGGGGGAGCCATAGGTCAGCACTAATGGGGAAGGCTGCGGTGGTAGACTCAGGGGCTGAACCCCATCATTATTCATGACTCCTTCCTCCCTAGTGCCCCGCCCAGCCCTCAGGAGGAACAGGTGCCCATGAAGCAGGTCCATGACTGAGTGGCCTCAGGAGCAGGCACTCCACAGAAGTTCTGGACCAGGGATGGGAGCATTGAGCCCCTGCTCAAGGCTGGATTTGCCACCAGTGCCACTCTCTGTGCTCATCCAACTTCTAGCAACACAAGTTCCAGAATGCAGTGGGCTGCTGGAAATTCTGGCGCCTCTCTCGGCTAAGGGGATTCTATAAATAAAGGTTCCCCTGGGTTGGGGCAGCGGTATGGAGCTGTGGGATGAGCCCTGAATGGGAAGCCACTGAGTCTGGTGCTGACTTCTGACCTAAACTTTGCCACTGATTTGCTGTGTGACCTTGGGCATGTGACTTTCCCTTTTGGAGCCTCAGTTTGCTCATCTCTCAAATGGATAATGAAACCTCTTAACAGACCTCACCACAGGATCTATCTGTTGTCACCCTCAATGACGTGCGGAATAAGGGGCTTCTAGACGTGGTGCTAAAGAAGGGACCGGCCTCTGATGACATCTGTGGGCATGCTGTCCACAGTGCAATGCTGGAGGGCCAAGAGGACAGAGCTCTTTGTTCCATAGCTGGTCTCACTACCTCCCTGGCACTTTGCAGGGTAATGCATCCTCCACCCCCCCACCCCCCCACCCCCCCACCCCCCCCCGCCAACCCACTGTCCAGGCCTCATGCCCAAAGAAGAAATGAAGACATGGGAGCCAGCATTTTATTGGAGAAGCCTGAATAAACACAAGTTTTATTAGTACCTTGAAGTTACAGAATTTGCTGGGGAAAGGAACTGGAAAGGCCAAGAGGCCAACATTCAAAATGGGGTGGGCCGGTTCCCCTGAGAAGATAGGAATGGGAAAGGGAGGAGTTGGCAGAGAAAGTCTAGACTTTCTGATCTGCTATGGAGCTGAGGCCCACGCTGCCAGAATCCCACCTTCCCCTACCTCCGTGGGATTGAAGAATTCTGTAGCTCCCTCTGGATCATGAAGGGGATGATGGGAGGCCTGAGTTAGGGAGACTTCTGTAAGCATCTCATTTGGATTTTATCTCCACAGGGTCATAGATGTAGCAGCCCACATCACCAATGTTCACACCTGCGGGAGAGAGCCTCATCACCTAGGGCCTTGGGGCCAGGGAGTACTGGGCTTTGGGCTGGAGGGAACTAGGAAGGACCTGGGATATATCTGATTACAGGGGAAGTTGTTCACACATCCCCACAGACCCACATGCCATACTTTAAGCCCAGTGTCTAGGGTGGGGCTGCCCACCTTTGGGGCCAAACAGGTAGCCGTAGCAGGGGATGTGACAGTAGGGGACGCCGTCATGCTGGGACACAGAGAGAAAGAGAGCACTCTCAGCTTGGCTCTTTACTATCCCCAACCTCTCTCCTCCCAGCATCACCACCCACCCCTCCCTGCTCACCTCAGCATGACTCCCAGCAGTCAGGGTCTTCCGGCAGCGCTGGCACCTCAGACAGGGTCGGTGCCAATTTCTGCCCAAAGACGTCACCTTCTCAGCTGGTGGCGGAGAGGATTAGTAACCCTATGGGCAGGGCTGGGAGCCTTGCACCACCTCCCTGCCCTTTGATGCCCACCTTGTACTCCCCCTCCTTACACTTTCTCTTGTCACTTACCAAAATAGACAGGTTCCTCACAGCCAGGGCACAGCGAGGTCTCCCCAGTGAATGTCTTCGTGTGGGAAGGGCCTTTAAGGGGAAGAGGCCCTGGCTAGGGTTGAAGTGGAGGCCGGGCCTAAGTAGGGCCCCCTAGCACCAGTCTGCATTCGGCACGGTCCTCCTCCCTAAGCCATGCTCATTCCAGAGCCTGCCACCAGTATGCCTTCTTCAGACAAAGCCGAGTCGCCTCTGATCCCACCTCCTGTCTGCAGGAGGGACCACCTGCTTCCTTCTCATCCTCCCAAGGGTTCAGGTGCCCACCAGCCCAACCCTGTCAGCAACTCAATCCTCAGGAAACCTGAGCTGATACAAGAGCTGCCCAGGGCAAGGGTGTCAGGTGTTTGGGGAGCACGGTGTCACTGCCCACAGTAGGGGACAGGAGAAAGTAACAGAGGGGAGAAGTGGAAGAATGTGAGGGACTGGCCCTGTCTCAATGACTCCTCATAAGTCGTTCCTTCCGTGGCCTTGGCCTCGGCCTCGGAGAGGCCTGACTTCCAGACCAGCTTTGCCTCTGACTAGCTGTGACTACACAAGGTTACTTGCCCTCTCTGACCTCAGTTTCCTCACCTGTAAAAGCGGGTGATAGTGCCATTTGCCCACTTTACCTCTGAACTCAGCAGCTGATATGAGGAAACATAAAGAAACTGGTCTTGGATGATGGAAGATTTTGCCATAAACCAAGTTGTAGGAATGTGAGCCATTGGACTATGTGAGAGACTGCCACCTGTTTCTACCCCATTCCCTGCCTAGCAAGGGTCAGGAGGAGGGGAAATGGGGCTCAGCCTCACTTACTTTTCTTGCGCTGGGGGAGACCAGTCCTGGGTCTTGGGGGGCTGAAACTGCTGGGGTCGAGGGGAGTGGTGTTGGCACGGGTGGGAATGGGGGAGTTGTAGAGGTAGGAGCCCACACCACCAATGTTCACCCCTGCAGAGAGAAGAGGGCGTGAGGCTTGAGTCTCCAGGGCCCTGCCACAGGGAGGGTTTCTGCCACACTCTGTCCCCTTCCAAGCTGGTACTTACCACTGGGTCCGAAGAGAACACCATAGCATGGCTTGTGGCAGTACGGCCTCCCGTTGTGCTAGGCACAAGCAGAGGAAAAGGGGTTGCTCAGGGATAAGGGGGCTTCTCCTGTGTCTCACAGGTCTTCCTACCAAACACACTGCCAGGTGTCTGCCTCCTGGCCAGGGCTGGTGGGGCTGGGAGGGATAAGGATGGGCTGGCATGGCAGAATAGCCGCTGTGGTCAGGGGAAAGGGCAAGAGCAGGCCAGGAAGCAGTGCTGCTTCCTTCTCCTCCCCCTCAGACGGCATGGGGCTCACCAGTACTCAGGATCCCCGAACCCTGGCTGGTGTAGGGCCCACTCTGTAAGTGGTTTTGGGAGTTGGCACTGAGGCTGCCTTTGGTGAACCAACAGGGCCACCATGGGGCTGGTGCCTGGAGGACAGTGACAGACAGGGTTGTGTGCCCCAGTTAGGTCTCACCTCTGCATGCCCTCCTGGGGACAGGACACTGTAGCAGTGCTCACATTTCAGGCAGAAGCGGTGCCAGTTCTTGCCCAGGGAGCTCACCTTCTCTGCTGTAGGGAACAAGGTAGAACAGGGCTGCCAGTCGCCCTCTTATTCCCCTCAGCCCCATCCTGCTTCCAGGAGATGGTGGGGAGTATCTCCAGGGGACCAGCTCCATCCCGCCAGAATGCCAGTCCCACAGATAGAACAGAGTCTGGGATTGCACCCGCGCCTGCTCCTTGTGTCCTCAGGGAACCCAGCGGCTCACACTCGTCCAGTTTTCTCCCGCTCCTCGGCCCCGGCCTCACCGAAGAAAACAGGTTGCTGGCAACGTGGGCAGGTCCAACTCATGGCTCCGTTCAGGTAAGCTGGTTGCTGCACACAGTAGGCACCCAGCAGGGACTCCGGTCTGCCCTCACCACTGGCTCCACCCATGACTCAGCTTGGAGCCTCATTGGGCTGAACCCCCAGTTCTTAGAAGCCCATTAGTTGCCAGAAATTTAGCACTACTCCACCTGGGGGACGCTGGTGACTTCGCAATTACTTCAAAAGACTAAGCCTTTCTCACCCTCCGAGAAGTGAGAAGGTCTGAAGCCAGACTGTGAGAAAGGGGAGAAATGAAGACACTGGGTACTAGTTTCTGGCGTGGTATGGAGAGGAAAAATGCCTTGAGTGTAGACACCATGAAAGCACTATTATTTCAAACCCAAAGCGAGGGGTTAGGGGTCCTTTGAAATGGTTTAATTCCATCTTGGCACTCTCACAGGTGGTTATCTGCAGCCCATCTCTGCTACTTACTCTTTGGCTTCAGGTAAATTACTTAACCATCCTCTGCCTCTGTTCTGTACAATACTCAGAGGATTGTTGTGAAAATTATTTAAGTTAATAATGATGCAGAGTGCCCAAACAGCACCAAGCATATAAATGCTACAAAAACAATGGTTTGATTGTAAGATTATAATGCTTAGTAAATTTAAACATATAATTCAGTCACCAATTACATATTCCTAATTTAGTTTATTTTAAGATGTTTTAATATTTGTTAAAAGTAGCTCAACAGCCCAACACGGTGGCTCAGTGGTTGAGCATTAATCCACGAACCAGGAGATCATGGTTTGATTTCCAGTCAGAGCACATGCCCGGGTTGCGGGTTCAATCTCCAATGTGGAATATGCAGGAGGCAGCTGATCAATGATTCTTTCTCATCATTGATGTTTCTATCTTTCTCTCCCTCTCCCTTCCTCTCTGAGAAGTAGCTCAGCAATACTTCAAAGGACACTTCAAAAATGGAAACTCACACAATGGTGGAAAAACATTTGCAAACATGTATCTGATAAGGGTCTAGTAACCTGAATATATATAAAGAACTGTTATAACTCAATAATAAAAAGATAACCCAATTAAAAAATGAGCAAAGAATTTGAATAGACATTTTTTCCAAAGAAGATATACAAAAAGTACATGAAAGATGCTCAACATGATTAGTCACTAGGGAAATAAAAATCAGAACCACAATGAGATACAATTTTATAATAACATTTATTTATTAGAATGACTATAATAATAATAAAAAAAAAAATGAGCCAAGCCGAAACCGGTTTGGCTCAATGGATAGAGTGTCGGGTGGGGGATTGAAGGGTCCCAGGTTCGATTCCGGTCAAGGGCATGTACCTTGGTTGCGGGCATATCCCCAGTAGGGGGTGTGCAAGAGGCAGCTGATTGATGACTCTCTCTCATCGATGTTTCTAACTCTCTAACTTAGGGGTGTTGAACTCAATCAGAGAAGGGGCCAAAATCTAAAATCCAGCCTAAATCGCGGGCCGAATGGTTTACTGAACAGTCATAAACTGTCATTGTGATGGAAACGCAGCGGAGTACAGTGATGACAGCGCGGTGCGGGCCACATTGCAAGGCCTGGCGGGACGGATTTGGCCCGCGGGCCTTGTGTTTGACACATGTGCTCTAACTCTCTCCCTTCCTCTCTGTACAAAATCAATAAAATATATTTTTTTTAAAAATGAGCCAAATTGGTTTAGTTCAGTGGATAAAGTATCAGCCTGTGGATTAAAGGGTCCCAGGTTCGATTCCAGTCAAGGGCACATGCCTGGGTTGCGGGGTCCATCCCCAGAGCAGGGCATGCAGGAGATAGCTGACCAGTTAATCTCTCTCATCATTGATGTTTCTCTCTCTCTCTCCTTCTCCTTTCCTCTCTGAAATCAATCTATCAATAAATATATATACACTAGAGACCTGGTGCACAAAATTTGTGCACAGAGGTGGGGAGTCCCTCAGCCTGGCCTGTACCCTCTCCAATCCAGGATCCCTCAGGGAACATCCCTCTCGCAATCTGGAACCACTAGCTCCTTTTGCTCACCTGCCTGCCTGATCAACACTAACCACTCTGCCTGCTGGCGTGATTGCCCCTAATGCCCTCCCCTGCTAGCCTTATTGCCCCTAACCACCTCTGCCTCAGCCCCCGCCACCGTGGCTTTGTCTGGAAGGATATCTGGTCTAATTAGCATATTACCCTTTTATTAGTGTGTGTGTGTATGTATATTTAAGTGAGTTTTAAGTGTTAGTGAGGATGTGGCAAAACTGGATCCCTCATACATTGTTGATGGGAATGTAAAATAGTACAGGCCTTTGAAAATAGTCTAGCAATTCCTCAAAAGGTTAAACATACAGTTACTATATAACCCAGCAATTGTACTCCTAGGTATATATAGTCAAGAGAAATGAAAGCATTTGTCCAAATAAAAACTTGTACACGAATGTTCACACTACCTCTATTCACACTAGCTAAAAGATGGAAACAACCCAATTAATAAACAAAATGTGGTATAATCATAATAGAATATTATCCTATACATAAAAGCCTAATATGCAAATTGTCCCCTTGACCAGGAGTTCATCCAGAGGGCAGGGCCGGCCAACCATTCGCAGCCCCTCCCCCCAGCTGGCCCCACCCCGGCTGGTGGTGGCAGGCGGCTTGGGGAAGGGAGGCCCCAGCAGGCAGTCAGCAGCCACTAGGGATCCTACCTGATTTTGTGCACTGAGCCTCTAGTTCAGTTATAAAAAGGATTGAAGCATTGATGCATGCTATAACATGAACCATAGAAACATGGTAAGCCAAATAAGCCAGACATAACACCATCACATGTTTTATGATTCCATTGATGTGAAATGTCTAGAATAGGAAAACCCAGAGAGAGATTGAGAGAGAGAGAGAGAGAGAGAGAGAGAGAGAGAGAGAGAGAGAGAGAGAGAGAGAGATATTAGTGGTTGCTCAAGGTTTTGGGAAAGGGCTAATGGGTATGAGATTTTTTAAGGGGAAGATGAAAATGATCTGGAATTAGATAATGGTGATAGTTGCACAACCTTGGGAATATATGAAAAATCAATGAATTGTACACCTCTAAAGGGTGAACTTTATGGTATGTGAATGTCTCAATAATGTTTAAGTATAGTATCTCAATAATAATAATAATCATAATAATAATAATGCCTGAAATGAACTACTTAAAATAAATAAATAAAAGGTAGCTGAGCAAATGAGGGACAGCAGAGGGAGTTGATTACTTTGTACTCCAACAAAACAAACAACCTCTTGATGAAATATCATGGTGAATGAAGATTTTTTTCTGGAATAAGCTCCTCTGTGGGTTTTTTGTTTTAAATGTGCTTTTATTGATTTTTAGCATGAGAGAGTAAGGGGGAGAGAGAAAACATTGATGAGATTGCCTCCCATAGCACTCCAACTGGGGATCAAACCCATAAGCTGGGTATGTTCCCTGGTAACCAAGATAACAGTGTGAAGGCTATGCCCGACCAATTGAACAACACTGGCCAGGGCTAAGATCCTGTTTTGTAAAGTCAGTTCAGAAGGGCTGAGGGTGTGTGTGTGTGTGTGTGTGTGTGTTCGCGCTACAGTGCGCGCTACAGTGCTGTGCCCTGTTGAGTAAAAAGAGTCCCTTTCTGAACTTAAGTCTCCTCAATTGGGCCATAGGGATGGGACTGGTATCTACAAACTTCCACTTAGCACTCCTGTTTCCCTCTAATAACAAAACAATTATAACAATAGAAGCAAAGTAAGGATTACATGAAGACAAGCTGAGATGTAGCAACAGTTGATCTGATAACCAAGATGGCTACAAAGTAACTAACAGACAGGTAGCATATACAATGTGGATATGCTGGATAAAGGGATGGTTCACATTCCAGGTTGGATGAAGTGGGACTACATGAGATTTCATTATGCTACTCAGAACAGTACACAATTTAAAACTTAAGAATTGTTTATTTCTGGAATTTTCCATTTAGTATTTCAGAGTGCCACAGTTGACTACAGGTAACTGAAACTGTAGAATGTGAAACTGCGGATAACGTTGGGGGGGGGGGGACCTATTGTATTACCTACTCAACTGTCAGGGTGCAGCTTGTGTCATCCCTTTTTAGTTTAAAATATATTTTATTGATTCAGAGAAGGAGAGGGAGAGGGAGAGAGAAACATCAATGATGAGATAGAATAATTGATTGGCTGTCTTCTGCATGCCTCCTATTGGGATTTGAGCCTCTAACCTAAGCATATGCCCTGACTGGGAATTGAACTGTGACCTCCTAGTTCATAGACTGACACTCAACCTCTGAGCCACAACAGCTGGGCTGTGTCACCCCTTATAAGGAGACAGCCCCCTCTTTCATTACGATGACATTCCCTTGGAGTGCCCCACTTCCTGCTTTTTCTGCACAGACCTCTATCACAGTAGCTGTAAATGCTGCATTACAAGTATTTACTTGTCCAACTTTCTTCAATTGACAGGATTGACTGACTAATCTGTGTACTTATAGCATAATGTGGGTGCTCAGTAAATGATCCTTATTATTATTAAAATCTACCACTAACACTTTTTACTTCATGTTTTAGGTAAATGTATATTTTAGGATTGTTATGTTTTCTTGATGAATCAATCCCTTTATTTTTGTTGTTAGGCAAGAAAAAGGCTTTTCACTCTAGGTGAGTGGTGGTGGAGGTTCCTCAAAAAGTTAAAATTGGAATTCCCATTTGACCCAGTAATCCCACTTCTAGGACTATATCCCAAGAAACCAGAAATACCAATCAAAAAGGATATATGCATCTTTATGTACATAGCAGCACAATTTACAATAGCTAATATTTGGAAACAATCCAAGTGCCCATTAACAGATGAGTGGATTAAAAAACTGTGGCACATCTATACAATGGAATACTATGCTGCTATAAAAAAGAAGGAAATTATACCATCTGCAACAGCATGGATGGAACTGGAGAGTATTATGCTAAGCAAAATAATCCAGTCAGAGAAAGATAAATATCACATGATCTTATTCATATGTGGGATATAATGATCAACATAAACTGTTGAACATAGATCCAGAGACAAATGTCAGGGGAGGTGGGATTGTTAAAAGAGAGCAACTAAAGGACTTGCATGCATGTATATTAGCATAACCAATGGACATAGACATTGGGGTGGTGGGGGCTTGCCCAGGGTGGGAATGGTGGGGGGGGGGGGCTTCAATTAGGGGGAAAAGGAGACATATGTAAAACTTTAGACAATAAAAAAATTTTAAAAAAAGTGTTTTCCACGCAAAGATATATTTGGTTTTTCAATTATCACTTGGAAATGCGTATTTCATCTAAAAGCACCTATTTATATATATAAAAGCCTAAGTGACCTTTACGACCAAACAACTGGACAACTGACCAGTAGCTATGACACACACTGACCACCAGGGGGCAGATGCTCAATGCAGGAGCTGCCCCCTGGTGGTCAGTGCACACCCTCAGCCAACCTCCTGCGGCCAGCCACCTCCTATAGTTCCTCCCCTCAGCGGGCTGACCCCAATA